TTTATTTATTTATTTATTTATTTATTTATTTATATGTATTTACTACCTGTGCAACTTTTTGGTGAAAAAAATTTCATTCATATGTCTCAATAAAGATACACAACACCTTCCCCTTTCTTATATTCTCTCTGTTTTACGAAGACTTTAGCATGAATCCTTGCTTGAATTGTTTAAATGAATAAATTCATTCGTCGATTGCTGTAATTCCATTGCAGCCCATAGACGAGGAAGATCATAATGGAGTGTTAACACGTTATGAAGTACACTATAGCTACAGTAATACCACTCTACAAATACAGAACATTACAGATGTCAATGCCACGTCTACACTGCTTACTGATCTATATAGATGGGAACAGTATTATATCACAGTCAGTGTCTGTACTAGTGCTGGATGTACGGAACATAAGGGTGCACCTTACGTTTTAGAACCCGATAAAGTAGGTAGGTTGTACATAAAAAATTACGAACCGAGGCTAATAACAACCAATATATTTAAATGTGCTTGTGTATGACGACAGAACAGCCTTGACTTTTTAACTAATACCAGTTTAGAAACTGATCTGATTTGATTTGATAGGGATAATGTGTCAATTCAATCGTCTTGGACAGATAATTACATACGATGATAGCAACGGACATGTTATGTGTTCTAGTGTGTATAACAACTGTTAGGCATCATTTATTCTGCAAGGAAACCTCGGAGCGGCAAATGGTATCATATTGACAATTATCGTACATGCATCTTGTAGTAGAGGTTTAAATGCTATACGAACAGTGGCGGTGGCACAGGAAGGCAGTATGGGGCGATCGCGCTCTCGAAATATGTTGGGCATCTCCCCATAAAATGGAGCTGAAACCCTAGGTGTCAACAAAATTTGCCCCTCAAAATGCAGGAAATAGCGTTTTGATTTTTAAGGGGAGGCATGCCCCGGACTCCCTATGAAGGTTGCGTCTTCGGCGCAATAGATGATGAGTAGATCGCGCCCTCCATGCACAATTTAGTGTCGCCGACTCTGACCCTTAACTATGCAGACACTGATACAATAACAAAATGATTGATTTTGTTTATTTCCCACATAGTAATGAATATACACAGTTTTTAGCTTGATTTATTTTGTTTGCCTCGTGGTACAGGACTCGGACTTTCTGTCTGCATGCAGTTTGTAGCAGATGTTGGGAACAAACTAAACATATTTCTGAATGTCAGTTCTGGCTTGCAAGCCCCTTTTATCCAAGCATTGAATATGTTGCATTTTTTTTCTTGGTCTGTTAATGATTCACATAAACAAACTATATTCTATTGATCGAATTCACATTAACATTTTCTACGGCTGGTAAATCACATTTTGTTATCGTAAAGGGATGTATCAGCGTTATTCAAGCATCGGAAATATGAATATGAAATGAACTATTTATTCAATTACAAAGGTTATGTATTAACAGGTTTGGATCCCCCGGGTCATATCTTGGCCGAATACACTTCGACAAGCTCATTCAACGTGTCATGGATACCACCGGATAATGATGAATGTATAATTGGCTATCACGTTACATATAATAACAATCGGTCATCAATTTATAATATGTTTGTTCGTGATGACTTATATGTACATATCACCGATGTGCCGGCGTCTTATTACATGGTATATGTGTCTGCAGTGATATATTCTGATTTTAATTCATCTGTGAATGGTTCTCATGCAGTAACTGGTATAAACATTCGAGGTATGTATACTGTACTATATATATGTCTGCAGTGATATATTCAGATTACAATTCATCAGTGCTTGAGTACCATGCAGTAACTGAGATAAACAAAACTAGGTATATATACGATATTATACATGTTTTTGTGCAGTGGGGTCGATAAGTACTATTCTCATCACTACAAAGAAAAGAATAATCAAATTTGTAAACTTCTAAGCAACTTTCTTTGAATTTTCTGTCTTATTGAATCAGCAAACCTGTATTTGTATCATTACTTATGATTATTTTTCAGACTAAATAGTTGACATATTGATACTTGTAGCAAAGGAATTGTAATATATCGCTATTGGTTCAGTGTGCGACTGACAACAAATCGGATATGTCGGAAAATGCATCCTAGATAGAATAATTATGATAGCGTGTGCTTCTGTGCTTCAATCTGAAGAGCAATGAATTGATCACTAATCAATACCTCTATAGTAATGACTGGTTATAGATTGTTTTTGAGTGGTCGCCACTCTTCTTGAGTTTTATTTATTACGCGTTTATTTATAATTACATTATGTTTATTAATAATTACAACATTACGCATGTCGGTAAATGTCACCTTGGCACAAAAAGAATTTAAAATAAAAAGACAGCTCGTGTTGGTGCGTGCATCAGTCGAACTATAATATAATGTACATTAACTTTGATAGTTGAGAAAATCAATTAATTTGCTGTGTAGAATTGTAGATAGTTTCATTAAATTAGTTTCTACTTCACTAACAATTCCAGGTTTATACAATGCTCGTCCTAGGCACATTTACGCGTCTTGAAAATATAATACAATTTATTGATTGATGTACATTTGGGTGAACTCTGTTTAGTAACATACAACAGTTATATTTATTCAACAATTATCACAATTGCGTTGGTCTGAATGCTATTAAATTCTTGAACAAGGTAATTAAATACCATTCAAGTATACTAGTATTGGTTTTATTTTCACTTTCCCCTTTTAATCTATGTATCTCACTTTCTTCTAGTCGCAACAAACTCGAGTAAACTTTATTTGATAGCTGTAGTTCCTGGAATAATAGTTTTGATTTGCGTCCTGGTATTGATTTACCAATGTAAAAGAGATGCTGTCAAAACAATATTTGCCAATCCATTGCCTAGAAAGCAATGGAAAATATATGTGGTAAGTGTAAAACTGCAAACTCACTCGATATGATCTTTCACGGAAATAATAATTACAGTTATTGCGTATATTCGTAGCGGAAACTGACTTTTCAGATATATTAATTTGGGATATTATATTCTATTGCAGACAACATTATCGATGAAAGAATCGATTCCTGTTTATCGTGAAGAACCAAATGAAGAAGAGTATGACGCTCCTCGTTTCCTGCAAAATACACCTAGACAGACGTCGTCATCTTCATCATCTAATTTGTCTGAGTTGATTCGTAATACGAATACAGTGAATGGAAATGACGGAATTGAAATTGTAAGTGAGGTTGAACAGATGATAGCGGCTGGGACGGACGAGTCTGCAATCATAAAAACAAGTCCATCTATGAATTCTGATAATTATGTTCACAGACGAGACCAACTTTCAAGTCCAGCACTTGGCAGATCACATACTCTCACTCATGGCCAACTTTGTGACAGTTCTCTTAACTCCAGCTTTGATGAGAATGAAAGTGATTTAGAGAACACCATAGATTTGAACAGATTTTTAAATGAATCACTCAACGATATCAGTGACGTAAATCAAGGAGGACAACAACATTTTACTGGACATGGTCCCGAGTTATTGAACACGTCAGATGACGGAGGTATTTCTGACATTGCCAACAGTAACACACCTTCTAATTTGTTTAGTTACAGTAAAGTAACTGAAGCAGGCGATGGATATTCGTTATTTTGACAAAATAAAGCGACACGCAATGCTTATCAAAAGTCAATCATAATTAGATCTCCTGCTTGCAAATTCAAGGATGAGTAAATCACCTATGCACATTTTTGTTCATCCTTAGAAACAAATTCCCACCGAGGATTATAATGAACCATGTATCGAATCTAGACCTGAAACACTGACCAAAGATTCTTGTGTGATTGGTCAAATATTCACTGACCTTGAATTGTCAGACATTCTAGACTGTCAAGAGGATGACAATTCTTTGTCAGGCGACGAATTATGCTGCCAATCCAATGGAGTGTTACGAACAAAACGACTCAGTCAGGTTACGTTAAAGCGCGGTAGTCGTCACGCTGCGCATGTGCGACATTTGTGTTGATAAACACTGCTTTTCCCACAATCCAATGCGCTCTTCAAATGGAAATCACAAGTATGAGGTTTGACCTGGGCACGACTTGCACTGATTACCGGCGGTGACTCCTTCGATACCTTCCAATCACCTAATTAAAGCTTGGAACAGTCTTAGTTTATACTCGCTGATCTTCGCAACAGTTACAGTCGCCATCTTTGTTTATATGAAACCCATATATCTCGCGCATGCGTGGCGCGACGACTACCACGCTTTAAGTTGAACGACGAAGAACTATCAATGCAGTGTACGCGATAAGTGTTAGAGAGAAACCGCTCAATCCCATGGATTGCACCAAAGAATCATGAAACACTATTGTTTATGTTCTTTTCAAAGTTAATCTATCTTTTATTATCCATTGTAATTTTAATCCTGAACGTAAATTTGTTGTGAGTTTAGGCTAAACTGGAAGTGCACCTTTAATACGCGCCATACATAATACATTACACGATCTCTCGTTGGCGCTTTCCGTGTATAGCACATAGTTTTCTTTTCTGTGTGTATTTTATGTCTACGGTTCTAACTAGAATTTATAAAGGGAATTAGAAAACAGGATCAAATGCGGTTTAGTAAAACTGTTAATCATTTGTTTAATAGCTGCCTGTAATTTTTCTTGATGTTTGTTTTATGCATTAAAATTAGGCATTGTAAGAACTTGTATTGGAATTTCAAAATCATGTATATAGTATACATTGGCCAGTCATTTTTTCCAGTTATTTAAAAATAAATAGTAACATTTGTAGTAAGATTGAAGCACCTGGCCTACGAGTAATAAATTCACTATTTAATAGTTAATAGAGACTGTGACAGCGAATCTTTGCTGACCACATACTGCAAAGTCTATCATTAATTACAAGAGCCAGCAGAGACATTTTGATCCCTGGAATTCAATTTGAATCAGATGTATACCAGAATGTACCAGAGAAGGTTGAATGTGATCGGTCAAAGAGTGTTCAATAAGATAAGTTCTAAATTTTGCATCAAATGAAGTTGCAGAAGTAACAGGTGGGCGGAGTAAGGCAAATAGTAAGGTATCAACTGAAACTCTTGGACAAACTACAAAACACATCTCACTCTGTACCAACAATTGTTGATCCTAAATTCTCAGTAGGGAAAAAATCACAACTATTTATAAAAGTTAAAACAGAATTTTACCCACTGTTGTATGATACTTGTTTTGACCCACTCAATGTTATTGCTAATAGTTGCAAATTGTTAATTTGTGTTAATATTTGACCTGGGGATCAACACTAGTAGTTTCGACCAACAGGCCTAGATATTTCAGACCTTCTGACTCCTTGGATACATGTGTTAAATAATGGCTGTGAAGATGTTCAGTGACCACTAAATCCCGCATTGAGTAGATTATTGATTAGTCAGTTGGCGAATGCACTGTATTTATACAGGTTAGAGAAATAGTTGTGTCTGTAAATTGTTTGCTTAGAGAACAGTGCGATTCACGAGGGATGCGGCTTCATAACTTGACACAAAACAGACAAACGCCTACTTACTATCACCCCTGATTTTTTGGCTCTATAATAAATTGTGCGAGAAAGGGGATAAAAATAACAGTTACATTAAACCATGCTATTTTTTTTTTACTTTTGGAGGCTTGTGTAAAACGCATACTGGGATGCTGATGCTCAAGTCAATGACCCCCTTGTGGTTGCTGTTTGGTATAAAACTTGAATGAAGACACAATCTGTGAATATGAATCAAATTACAAGTAGCACCCAGTCCAGGAACGGGAACCAATTACCATTACTATCAAAAGAATACTTAACATGCATGGTATCACACAAAATATACTTGTCCAGGACCAAATTATAATTTATTTTGTAAATCAGAAGATTCCTCCCACATGTCAATAATGTGCTCTTGATTTTCAACTTTCATTTTCTTTGCATTATAATAAATTTTAAATTTGTTTATTCATGCTCGGTGACACCATAGATTTGTACATTAGTACAGCTCAGTATTGCTAGAAACGGCATGATCAATTCAAGCCATTAGCTGGTTTCTGGAAGTGGGAATTAATTTATTTTGACCTACTCCTACTTGCTTGGTGATCTTGCTGAATGAAATTTGCTCTTGCAGCAACTACTAGTGACCGGGTCATAAGGAAAGTAAATTAGGAAATATTCTCTAAATTGACTGGCTGGCTCACTACTTGCTAATAGTACTAAAACATGATTTTGGTTTGGCCTCCAGCCATTCATTAGGTTCTTAAATCACCTTTGATGGAATGAATACATTATTTTCGAAATAGTAGTATGTTTAAGTAATGCTTAAAAATTTAGATCAATACTGTAAAATGACTAATTTTCACTAGGTTAAAATTTCACTGATTTAGCATTTCAGGCATATTCAGTAGGTTTTAATTGGCTGTTTTATCATTGAGATAATGTGTTCTATAGGCTGTTTTACCATTGAGATAATGTGTTCTATGATGCTCAATTCACCAGGTTTTAATTTAACGCATTTTCCAGTCAAAACAAAATTAAAACCCAGTGAATAATTAAGAATTTTACAGAAACACAACTTTTGTAGTAGTGCTAACTATATGCCTTTACTTTTATGCACACAAGATTTAGGAATTCTGAAGCTTTTTACTATTGGATTTAGAGTCAGCTCCACATACATCACACAACTTAAAAGGTGGTAGACGTTGCACCACGCATGTCTGACATTTGTGTTGATAAACATTGAGTATCCCATAATCCAAGGCACTTTTCCAATTGTACGAGCACTAGTCACTACAGACTACTTTTTCGATACCTTCCAAACATCCTCTCAGTTTTTACTAGTTGGTGTGCGCAACAGTTTAGATGAGACCCATATCGCGACGACTATCCGCCCTTTACCATTCAGCAAAATTTCAGCTGGCTTAAAGATAGCTTAGGTTGTTTTCAAAACCCCCATACATAAAGATCATACAGAGATAACTGCCTTTGTATGCATATCACAACACTAATTAAGGTAAATACTAGAAAGAATAGATTCAAACTATTGATGACAAAATTCTTTGAAGTTTGCATGAAATGGCAAAGCCAGCTAAGAGCCTCGTTGGGAGTTGGGTCATTCTCTGACTGTACTGTACAAATTAAGTGTATTTTCCATGACAAGAAATCTAATTTTCAATTGATTTTATTTTCAAACAAAAATAAATTCAAATAGAAAAAAAAAATGAATCAGTGATTGCTTCTCTTAAACAGTGTAGTACCCATGTAGCAATATAAATGTTTCATGAAAACGGCAGTTGAGCTAAATATACAACTGCAAATAGTACAACTGTGTTTGGCCGACAAATTACAGTCTCAAATTTAAGATATATC